CTATTTTACATCTACTCCTCCTTTTTCTTAGAGGAATAAGCCTTGTGCAAACATCGAGTGCCACCGAGTTAATCTGTTCTAGGCATAAGTTGGGGTCTGTGTTGCTTAGTATATCTTCCCAGCTTATATCGGTTAGAATTGGTTTACTTGGTCCCACTTTATGTTTTTGTTATTGAAGTTGAATTTGGTGAATGCTCCCTCGTGACTAGTCTCATTATGTCGGTCTGGGGCTCCACGCATACATGTCTGAACCTCAATTATGTTGTGATCTGAGTATATTGTTTTTGATATGGTGACATTTCTTATCAGATCATCATTGTTAGTGGAGATGAGGTCTAGTGTATTCTCCAGTCTAGTAGGCTCTATTATTTGCTGGTTTAAATTGAATTTTGTGCAGAGATTTAAAAGCTCGTGCGAGTGTGAGTTTTCATCAGAGCTGCCTCCTGGTGTTATTACTGCAACAATATTATTTGCTATATTCCTCCATTTTAGGTGCCTTAAGTTGAAATCCCCAAGGAGCAAGATGTTGGGTGCAGGAGCTGGAAGATTTTCCAGACAGTGGTCAATTTTTAACAGCTGTTCCTGGAATTGCTGGGATGTTGCATCCGGAGGCTTGTAGACTACCACAATAACTAGGTTTTGGTTCTCGACCTTTACTGCTAAAACTTCCACTACATCATTTGAGGCATTAAGCAGTTCTGTGCAAACAAGTGACTCTGCAATGTACAAGCCAACCCCCCCCCCCCTTTTGCCTGTTCACTCTGTCACATCTGTATAGGTTGTAACATGGGATCCATATTTCGTTGTCCAAGTGATCCTTTATGTGGGTCTCAGTGAAAGCCGCGAACATTGCCTTTGCCTCTGCAAGCAGTCCACGGATGAAAGGTATTTTGTTGTTTGTTGCTGGCTTTAGACCCTGTATATTTGCAAAGAAGAATGTCATCGGACTGGTGGTATTGTTGGTACTGAGGGGGGAGGGGATTTTTTTTCCGGCATTAGTATCTGTATCTGTTGGTTTGGAGTGGAGGCCATCGACTGTGGTTCCACTCCAGGAATGACTGGATTTGGTGTACGATTTCTGCCATTTCCTGCCAGTTTTTTTTCCTTCCTGGCACTAAAAAACATCTCCCTCTTGAGTGGCTGTGGTTACCCAGGTTTTCCCATGGCCTGGATGTTTTGTATCTTTTTGTCCCCTTTAGATGGTGTGCCTGGCAATTTAAGTTATAGCACAGTCTTTCCTGTACTGAAGAGGTACACATTTCAAGGTGAAAAAGCTTACAGGAAGGGAGTTTGCATTTTCCTGTTGTCATATGGGCATGTCATTTTCTAGGGTGGTCATAGTTGCACGTCCCGTCTGTTTTTCCAGATTTCCCATGTCTGCAGATACCAAGTGCATAGTATGTGCACAGGCTTGGTTTCCGTTTGCCTTGGGTTTCTGTGACTGTATTCCCTGTTGGTGCATGTTTCACCTGTCTTATTCCTATCCTCCCTAGCACCAACAATGGAGCTCCCACCAGTTGTTTTTGGTAATATATCCTCACTATAGCTAGTGGAGTCCTCTTGTTCGCTATTTCCTGTGGTATTTCTAGTTTGCAATATTGGTTTTATCTTATCTTTGACTACACTTGTTTCACCACTATGGCTCCTGTCCCCTATGAGGTCATTTATGTGTATTCCTTCCTGCGTATAATTCCCGACTACCTGGACAAAATCTCCAGCTTCACCATTACTGTCTCCCAGGACAGCACCTCCAGCTTCACCATTACTGTCTCCCAGGACAGCACTATCAGCCCCACATTTACTGACTACCAGGACATCACCTCCAGCCTTACAGTTTCTGACTACATGGCCAGTATCAAGGGCAGTACCATTCAGCCCAGACTTTTTATGTTCCCATCTGTTGTAGAAGATATATGTATATACATGTTTTTTATTTTGTGTTCTGTGCCCTGTTCCTACGAGAGAGAGACCGAGTTTTTTTTACCACCAGTATTGTCGCGTCGGGACGATTTGCGGTAGGTGGCCGAGCGTATCTAGACAGCCTGTACTGTCTGCACAGACAGTCATGCTGTCTGCCAGCTTAGTTCATATTTTGCGCAACTCAGGTGCTGCCCTCTGGGCCTGTCCAAGTCTGTGGGAAGCTGGTCCCACACTTGCTCACTCTCACACAGCGGCCCTGCGAAGAGAAGGCCTTGAGTTGGTGGGCTCTTGTTGGGATGGCTCTGGGCCTCAGTGGCACAAATAGCAAGCCGTGTATCCCCCCAGGGCGACCCGGTTAGGCCCTGAGTAATAAAGTAAGAAGCCACCGGGAAGACGCTACATTAAACCCCGCTGGGAGCAATACTGGATAATGGGTTCACAACACACAAGCCTTAGACACACCACGACACTACAAAATAAGAAGCCACCAAACACATAAACCGTCACATCAATCATCGTGTCACAACAACATGCACCCCGAACACGGCACAGACACCACACAAACACACACGCACAACATGGCACAACGGCACGACAGACACAACACGGCACACGAACGACACGAACACGACACACTAACAACACACCAACACGATACACCAACACAACACACCAACACGACACACCAACACACACCAACACGACACACATACACGGCACACCAACACGACACACCTACACGGCACACCAACACAACACACCAACACAACACACCAACACGACACACCAACACACACCAACACGATACACCAATACAGCACACCAACACAACACACCAACACGACACACCAACACACACCTACACGACACACCTACATGACACACCAATACAGCACCCCAACACAACACACCAACACACACCAACACGATACACCAACACAACACACCAACACACACCAACACGATACACCAACACGACACATCAACACACCAACACGACACACCAACACAACACACCAACACGACACACCAACACGACACTCCAACACACACCAACACGACACACCAACACACACCAACACGACACACCAACACACACCAACACAACACACCAACACGACACATCAACACACACGAACACAACACACCAACACGACACACCAACACACACCAACACGACACACCAACACGGCACACGACACACACCAACTCAACACACCAACACACACCAACACGACACACCAACACGGCACACCAACACACACCAACACGACACACCAACACACACCAACACGACACACCAACACACACCAACACGACACACCAACACACATCAACACGACACATCAACACGACACACCAACACGACACACCAACACGACACACCAACGCACACCAACACAACACACCAACACGACACACCAACACACACCAACACAACACACCAACACGACACACCAACACACACCAACACGACACACCAACACGACACCAACACGACACACCAACACGACACCAACACGACACACCAGCACACACCAACACAACACACCAACACGACACACCAACACACACAACACGATACACCAACACGGCACACCAACACACACCAACAGGACATACCAACATGGCACACCAACACACACCAACACAACACGACACACCAACACGGCACACCAACACACACTAACACGACACACCAACACGACACACCAACACGGCACACCAACACACCAACACGACACACCAACACGGCACACCAACACACACCAACACAACACACCAACACGACCCAAAATCAGTAAAGGAGAATGTATTAAATCTTATTTAAACAGCCATAATGACAAACAGAGACCCGATGACGGACCGACCCGACGGACCGACCCGACGGACCTGGTTAGCAACGCACTCTTTGAGTACGTTGCTAACCAGGGACTTCTCTACACATATGCTTATATGTATGATAATCAGTGTAACTGTATTTGTGTATACCTGAACAAACTTACTTTCTTACAATGCACACAGAGAGTGTCCGTGGTTCAATCCCCGGCATGGGTAGAAACATTTGGGCGTGTTTCCTTGCACCTGCTGCCCCTGTTCACCTAGCAGTGAGTAGGTGTCTGGGTGTTAGTGGACTGGTGTGGGTGGCATCCTGGGGAACAAGACTGACGACCTTAATGGAAATAAGACAGACAGTCTTGATGACGCACTGACGTTCTTGGGTTATTCTGGGTGGCTAACCCTTCCATGGATTATCCTGGGTGGCTAACCCTCCTCTGGGTTATTCTGGATGGCTAACCCTCCCCTGGGTTATCCTGGATGGCTAACCCTTCCCTGGGTTATCTTTGGTGGCTAGCCCTCCCCTGGGTTATCCTGGACGGCTAGCCCTCCCCTGGGTTATCTTGGGTGACTAACCCTCCCCTGGGTTATCTTGGGTGGCTAACCCTCCCCTGGGTTATTCTGGATGGCTAACCCTCCCCTGCGTTATCCTGGATGGCTAACCCTCCCCTGGGTTATCTTGGGTGGTTAACTCTCCCCTGGGTTATCTTTGGTGGCTAACCCTCCTCTGGGTTATCCTGGATGTCTAGCCATCCCCTGGGTTATCTTGAGTGACTAACCCTCCCCTGGGTTATCTTGGGTGGCTAACCTTCCCCTGGGTTATCCTGGATGGCTAACCCTCCCCTGGGTTATCCTGGATGGCTAACCCTTCCCTGGGTTATCTTGGGTGGCTATCCCTCGCCTGGGTTATCCTGAGTGGCTAACTTTCCCCCTGGGTGGCTAGCCCTCCCCTGGGTTATCTTGAGTGGTTAACTTTCCGGGTAAAATAATCCCAACAAATCTTATCTTATCTTATCCTATACTACGCCCATTGAACCCATCATCCCAATGTGTGACCCACCGCTCAAACTATACGTAAAATAATCCCTTGCTTAAAAATCACAGTGATGAAATATATACCTAATACGTGTCTAAACATAAGGTATTAACAGATAATTATTTTCCGATGCTATGAACTACGAACGAGTAATGGGGGAAAAAAATGTTCAAATGTACATTGGACAATCGGACACAGTGAGCAGCTGATCCAGGTAAACAAGAGGCCTCCTTCCTCGCCTGGTCACTGCCGCTATGATCCTCTATTTTATCACATTTTAGGCCGACAAAAGCAGGTTTCGCCTCACGCTGACGGGGAAAACATCGTCCTGCAACTACAGAAACGTCGACTTGTTAATCTGACGTCTTGAAGTAAGAGAGAGAGAGAGAGAATTTTAAACCAGTGCAGCCTGGATTTTCTTTTCCTACTCGGTGGGAGGTGCCTTGGTGCTGGTGAGGTGCTCTTGATCCAGGGAACTGGATTTGTCCTCACCTTCCTTGGAGCCAACCTCAACGCCTTCCATTCCTCCATACAGGAGAATGATGGAGAAAGTAGCAGCACAAGGACCCCAGTGGAAATAAATCACTAGACTTTCGGAGGGGGGGGGGGGATCCTAGATAATTTACGCTATGTATGATAATTGTAATTATATGTAACTGTGCCTAAATAAACTTATTATTTATTTACACATTATAGGGAGAAGAAATTATCCAGATCAAGGAGTGGCCTGGTGGCAAAGGCTCTCGTTTCACACGGTGAGGGTCCGGGTTCGATTCCCAGTGAAGGGGTGGAAACATTGGGCGTGTTTCCTTACACTGGTTGTCTATGTTCACCCATCAGTAAAATGGGTACCTGGGTGTTAGTCGACAGGTGTGGGTCGCATCCTGAGACAAAACTGACCTAATTTGTCTGAAATACTCTGCATAACAAGGGGCTTTCTAGATAGTAGTATGTCATTGATGTCAACTAGGCCTGTATACCTTGTATTTGTAGCAAATAAAGATTATTATTATTATTATTATTATTTAGGTACTGGTGTACATAAGTACAATTATCATACCTTGTAATGTATTTGTAAATTGCCAAGGATAAACCAAAAAAGTCAGGCAAAGTGATTTATTTCCATTGGGGTCCTTGACTGATAAGCTTGTAGCCCGGTTGCCAATGCTCTTTCCTCACACTCCATGTCTGTGGTTTGATCCCTGGCTGTTAGACACACTGGGCATGTTTCCTTACACCTGCTGCCCCTGTTCACCTAGAAGTAGGTACCTGGGTGTTAGTTGACTGGTGTGTGTGGCATCCTGGGGGACAAGATTGAAGGAACATGATGTAAATAGTACAGACAGTCCTCAGTGAAGCACTGACTTTCTTGGTTTATCCTGGGTGGCTAACCCTCTGGGTTAAAAATTCCAACAGATTTTATCATAACAGAGTTTGCATAAATGGGAATAAATCAGCATGGAGGCCCATTACAATAGTGTGATACAGGGGTCGGTGTTGGACCCCTTGTTGTCCACAATATACATAAGTGACATAGATAAGGGAATACATCATGATGTAAATAAGTTTGCCGATGACACTGCACTGTAATAGACTGCTACTGGAAGATTGGAATAGTTTGATGTTGTAGTTAGAGAAATGGCAGATGCAGTGTAATCAGGATACTTGTAACTTATACCTGTACCTTCGATGAGTTTAGAGTCTTTCTACCCTCAGAGCCTGGCCATGGGCCAGGCTTGTCTGGTGCTAGCTTGGGCAATCAGGCAGTTGCTGTTGGAGGCCTGCTGCCCCACACATATTCATCACAGCTTGGTTGATCTGGCACCTGGTGAAGATGCTTGTCCAGTTTTCTCTTAAAGACTTCTGCACTTGTTCCAACAGTGTTTCTGATATCTTCTGGTAGGTTAAATAATGTAGCTCTAGTCAAACTGAATATGAAAAAGATCAGAGTTCTGGTTAGCAGACATTTACAACCAAGACAACAGTGAATCAGTATTTGCAATAAAGCCAATAGGATTGTTGAAAAATAACTTTAGGACTTCTATTACTATGGTGATAGAAGTCCTAAAGTTATTCCTCAGCTTAGTATATTCTTTGAAAGACCTTATTTAAATTATGCTCCTTTGTGGTCTCCATATTACAAAAAGGACATAATGCTCCGGAAAATATACAGAGAGGAATGATGAAGTTGATCCTATGTATCAGAAATTTTTCTATGAAGATAGACAGCACTAAATTTGCACTCTCTGGAAAGATGCAGAATTAGGAAGGCTTTGACTGAGGTGTACAAATGGAAAATAAAAATACATAAAGGGGAGTATTTAGATAAAGGTAGGGAAGTTTTCATTGCATTTATGGATTTAGAAAAGACATGATAGAATGGATAGGGGAGCAATGAGGCAGATGTTGCAAGTGTATGGAATAGGTAGTAAGTTACTATATGCAGTAAAGAGTTTTTATGAGAGTAGTGAGGCTCAGGTTAGGGTATACAGGAGAGAGGGAGATTACTTCCCAATAAAAGTAGGTCTTAGACAGGGATGTATAATGTCTCCATGTTTGTTTAACATATTTATTGATGGAGTTGTAAAAGAAGTAATTGCTAGGGTGTTGGGGAGAGGGGAATCAAATACAAAATGGGAGTTTACTTTTTGCTGATGATACTGTGCTGTTGGGGGATTCTAAAGAAAAGTTGCAAAGGTTAGTGGATGAGTTTGGGAGGGTGTGTAAAGGTAGAAAGTTGAAAGTGAATATAGATAAGAGTAAGGTGATGGGGTATCAAACAATTTAGATAAAGAAAAATTGGATATTACATTGGAGGGAGGGAGTATGAAAAAAGTGAATGTTTTCATATATTTGGGAGTTGACTTGTCAGTGGATGGGTTTATGAATTGATGAAGAAAAAAAAACGTGAGTGGTGCATTGAGGTATCTGTGGAGACAACGTTATCCATGGAGGCAAAGAAGGGAATGTACGAGAGAATAGTGGTACCAACACTCTTATATGGGTGTGAAGCAAGAAGGCGTCTGAAGGCCGTGGGGATGTCGTGTCTAAGAGCAATGTGTGGTGTAAATATTATGCAGAGAATTCATAGTGTGGAAATTAGGAGGAAGTGTGGAGTCACTAAAAGTATTAGTCCGAGGGTTAAAGAGGGGCTGTTGAGGTGGTTTGGTCATTTAGAGAGAATGGAACAAAGTAGAATGACTTGGAAAGTGTACTATAAATCTATTGGGAAAGGAAGGCAGGGTAGGGGTTGTCCCCGAAAAGGTTGGAGGGAGAGGTAAAGGAGGTATGTGGGCCAGGGGCTTGGATTTCCAGCAAGCGTGTGTGAGCGTGTTAGATAGGAGTGAATGGAGATGAATGGTATTTGGGACCTGACGAGCTGTTGGAGTGTGAGCAGGGTAACTGTGAAGGGATTCATGGAAACCAGTTACCTGGACTTAAGTCCTGGAAATGGGAAGTACAATGCCAGCACTTTAACCCTTAAATGGTCCAAATGTATATATATGTTCTCTCGCCCCAAATTTTTTCAGAGAATTTTTTTTTTTTTTTAAATCAAAAAGGAGCATATGGTACACAGGCATCTCCAATTTTTTTCATATAGCTCACAGTGAGTGCACACACCCATTCTCTCACGTCTAGGCGACTCAGGCTTATCGTGGCAATGTTGAATGAATGACAAAGAAAACTTATATATACGTTTGGGGCGCTACGTGAGAGAACGTATATATACGTTTGGACCGTTTAAGGGTTAAAGGAGGGGTTTAGAATACAGTGGACCCCCGCATAACGATCACCTCCGAATGCGACCAATTATGTAAGTGTATTTATGTAAGTGCGTTTGTATGTGTATGTTTGGGGGTCTGAAATGGACTAATCTACTTCACAATATTCCTTATGGGAACAAATTCGGTCAGTACTGGCACCTGAACATACTTCTGGAGTGAAAAAATATCGTTAACCGGGGGTCCACTGTATTGACAGTTTGGAGGGATATCTAAGCTTTTGTATCTGAGCCCCTCTGCAAAGACAGTGATTATGAGTGATGGTGAAAGTGTTGAATGATGAAAGTTTTTTCTTTCTTTTTGGGTTTTTCTTTCTTTTTGGGTCACCCTGCCAATGTGTTAAAAATAAAAAAAATAAAAAATAACATGGGTGTGATTGGGTGTGTTTTGAACTTGCCTAACATGAACCTCTAGTCCTGCTGCTGTGTTCCTTCATTCTTGTGTTCTTATATTCTTATAAATATGAAATACAGTATACTTGTCAATTTGAGGTACAATGTGTATAGGAGATATAAACTGCAGATCACATTGTAAATGAGTTTGTAATATTTTGTAGGTTACCTTAAATTCCATTTTTTTTTTACATTATGTTCCTGTAATGTTTTGCATAATACAACAGTTTAGGAAAGATACATGGTCATCACTGTCTTTGCAGAGGCACTCAGATATGACACCTTAGATGTTCCTCCAAACTGCCAATATCCCAAACACCACCTTTAGAGTGCAGGCATTGTACTTCCCATTTCCAGGACTCAAGTCTGGCTAACCAGTTTCCCTGAATCCCTTCACAAAATAACAAGTACTGTACCACTGCCAAATGCTGGATCAACCAGGCTGTGAAGGATATGTGGCCCAGTGGGTGTCAGCAACAACCTGGTTGACTAGACTAGCACCAGAGGAGCCTGACCAAGGATTGGACTGCAGGGGTAGGGAAACTCTCATAACCCATCAGTGATATATCAAAGGTGGGATGAAGGCATTTCTTTGGCCTAGATTTGGGCAATGTAGGAGGACCCCGCATATTCTGCACCCTCTTTTGTTGGCTCTCAAGTGAGTCATTGTTCATTGTGTTCAGTGTATATACTGCTTTTGTGTCAATTTTGTACAACATTTGCATAAGGGAAGGGGGACTGGCATTATATTTTAAAGTATTATATGCACTGTGTATTTATTTATTTTTTTTATCTTTTTTTTATGCCTAGCTGTACTGCGCACTTGATATGTGATAGTGTACACACATTATCAGGTATTTTTGATGCATTCGATAAAAAACTGCTCTTTTCCACCCACTGGCAATTTTTGCTTATAGCATGAGGTTGGGAACTTAGGAGCCATATAAACTGGGCCCCTCCTGTACTGTATTTTATCCCAGGACACCAGGTGGTAAGACTCAGTATGACTTGCACTATAGCATAAGCACTCATTTTAGACTTGATTAGAAAGTGTTTGATGTAAACTATTCTCATTCTTTAGTATTTATGGCAACAGTTCTGGTGGGATATCTTGTTAATAATGGTAGTAAAATAGGCGAAAAACGATCTGATTACCCTAGTTACAGGGATTTTGAGACAAAAATCAAACCAGAGTGG